CTCATAGCACGGAGGACACTGCACCGCAAGTGCCAAATTCCTCATTATACCACCTACCATTTGGCAAATTAGAATTTCCAAACAGCTCTGGTAAGCTGGTAAATATGCTCAACTGGTATCAGATGTGTATAGAAAAAGGCACTAGAATTTTCCCTTTGTTAAGAACTTGTAAGCAGCTTGTTTTGTAGAAACCATTACAGATTTCCTACCACCCGATCTTTTGCGGATTTGCAGTAGTCAAATTCGATAAATCTGAATATAAAGAGTGAATCCGCGATACTATTACCTCGTATACTAACACGAAAACGTTGTCGAGTTGAAAATTTCATATAATTACAATTTTTTGAATTTGAGCGGATCGAACGGCGTGTTCTCGACCTGATCAAACAAGTCGCAACGATACGGAGGGTCGATAGCCGCCCCCTCGACTTCGCCCGCGGGTAAAAATAATATTTCCCCGCACAATAAAAATGGTGTTCCGTTACGATATCCGGCTATAAAAATCGAGAGCTTTGCGAGACGCCAAAGAAATACAATTCGATGGCGGAACAACTGCAAACATCCGAAGCTGTTCTTAAAACAAAGGTCCCGCGGGCGCGGGCTTACGCCATTTTAATAAAATTTTATACGGCGGCAAACTGCATTTTATCGTCACCGTCTAGTGCTGAATTTTTACTGCTCTAATTTCGATCCGAAACAAAACGTAAAAATGTTGGTTATTGCCGCTGCCGTTACCTCGAGGGTAATCAGCAATAAATCGCTACCTCGCGAAAAAATGGCGGTCGCGGTTAAATAAGCTCAGCGAAGGCGGAAAAGTGGGTGGACTCGCATACAGAGTGGTGAGGCATAAAAATATACTTAGGTAGTGGTTTCTTTTTTATTATTACACTGCTCCGTGGGGGCGCCACTTAGTCTGACGTTTTGACTAAGAGATTAATAAGCTTCAGAGCAATGCTCCAGTAAAACAACTTTTTAAAAAGTTAAAAATATGTTGACTAGAATGGTATATGGTCACTAACTTTGCCTATTGTTTATTACTCCAAAACCGCAGCCCCTTATAAAGCACCCTGCCGAGCAGACCCTTGCCCGGAACCATTCCAGGACCGTCCTAGGAATTTATCTACCTACACTAACAAGCAGGTTACAAGTATGTCTTCGAGCTTTTTCGCCGAGCAATTTTTGAAACATATACATGAAAAGATTAGTACAAAGCAACAATTTATTACGTTCTATGTCACTTGTTTTTAATGGTGCTCCTACTTCCCCGTTTTTTTATTTGCCGAGGTAGTTGGTTTTCTAAATTGTCATTAGGTTCGACCACCATCTCCACGTCATCTTCAAATTCTGCGTAGTTTTCCATGTCCTCTTCTAACAGGAGCACATCTGCTTCATTCCACGGTTTTCACATTTTAAAGTGTTAAAGAACGGGAACCTTAAAAATATGTTTAATTGTAATGATTTTAATAAATATGTATCTGTATTCTTGTGACGTACCTTTATCTACCGCGAATATAATCTGTAGTCTTAAAAAAGACTGTTGTTTACAATCGAAGAACCATGTAGAAGACACAAAAGTACAAGAAGAAGAATGTTGTTAATCGACAGGCACACAAGACAAAAATTAATATTTTCAAACTTATCTATAAGATGAATAGAGTACAGACTTACTTTTACCCTTTGAACTATCCAGTGAAAACAGCCTCACAGGGTCAAAGTTAGAGAATGAGGTACATGAATTCATACTTACTAGATGGATCACAGTCAACTACCTCCGTAATATATACGAACATATTGCAATATAGATTAAACTTTTACGAACAACACATATCATCTGATGTTTAAATAAAAGCTTCTACTTATTCGAAAGTACACGGCAGCATCAATGCTTAATCAAATTTAAAACAGTTCATTTACGTTTAAAATAAATATTTTCTACAAATATTCGTTACGGTCCATATCAGGCAAGACCTATTTAATGCAGAATAAACCACCTGTTGGGATCGGTTTTACCACGATTATGCGAAGGTCTGCGGTTAGGGTATTGTAAAATACTTATCGGTTTGCCAAGATAGCTTTACATGTTTAGCAATACTAGTATTTTAAAACGGAAAATTTAAAAAAGAAAAAAGATTGATTTAAATTCGATGCGAAATATTTACAAAGTTTATGCCGCCCTTGCCTTCAGGAATTCCATGCTGTGAGTAACCCAAACTAAAAGATCTGTTCGTGAGGAATACGTGGACTCAGTGTTCCTGGGCGATTACGTCCCTTTATCGGAAGGTACTTCGGTAATAATAACTTACGGAAGAATTATCCAGGGAGTAACAGAGGATATCGGAGAGTATCGCAGCTCAAAAATCCAAAAAAAAACAAACAAAAATTTTATCTGCAATCTAACTAAAGTTAAGACTGGGGTTCCATAAACATTGTTATAAAAAAGAAGAAAGAATAATCCTTAATGCACGACCTAACCACCAAGATCAACTTACCAAATGGGGGTCGTAGGCGACGACCATATTGAACCATAAAAAAAAGCAATAAATATTGACTGACTACTGACAACTGACTACGCTACAAAATAATACTGGCTGACAAAGATAGATTTCCTTAGCACGTCATATGCCAGTTTGTCCAATAATACAAACTTATACAGTTATACAGTAGACGAAATTTAAAAGGACAATGAAGTATACAATGTAGAAGACGCTGTCCTGAGACAATTTGATAAAATGGACATTAAAACAATAATAACATATACAAAAGAATAAAATGTACTACGGTAGAAGCGATTCTGGAACAGTTTGGTAAAATGAAGAATTGACAGAAATTACCAACACAGAAAAACCAAAGCATGCTCCAGAACCCAAAAATTCGGGCATATTCTACTTTTTCTACTGATGAACGCAACCCAAATAGAAATTATTTTAATAAAAATTTCAGGAAGATCGTATGTCAACATAGAGGGAAACTCGCTCGACCAACTGTTTATCAACGAACGCGTGTAAATCATACCGTCACTGACCTCTATCTCCGAATTATCCGGCAACTGTGCTCCGCGCTACTTATTATGCGACAAATGAACATTACCATAGAGAGGCAGCAAAAATACTCCGGAGGTCAAGCGATACGCAACTGCTATACGCCGGATGATCTGTTTATGCACAGTTGTTTGCCCTGGATAAATGTCGTCCGTTTAACTATCCGATTCGACAGTATATATTTCCCTTCCGAATGCAATTAAAGTGAACGCGATACGTCACGGTTTGTTTCAATTTCGCGGCGGACAACATAAACCGTTACAGTTACGTAACCTCAATCTACGATGTCCGCGCGCTCACGCGGCTGTCAAGACATCGTAAAACTCCGCCCCTTTCGCCTCCCGCCTACCTATAAAACCGGCATACAACTTGAAGCGTTACGTCCAATAAATGAAAACCCCTGAAGCCGTAATAAAGTCGACATTGTTAAGAAATTTACGTCCTCGGTTGTTGTACCTTCGAGGGAACAATGTCGATTCGTAAAAATATGTCAACACATATGGCCGTTTCCTACCCGACAAGTTTATTAACTGTATACGCATATCACGTATATAAGCTCTTAACTTTATGGTAATTAGACCTCCTATGAATAAGTTCCAAAATCTTTTCCAATAAGGTTATTTTTGTGGTTTTAGACCCAATAAATCAACCACAGATCAAATTTTCTCCATACGGATGATGCTAGAATTTAACAAAATGCATCGTCTATTTATAGACTTCTATAGACATCTATAGGCATATGACAAGGTGAAGAGGACCGCTTTGTGGGTAGCCATGTCAGAACTCTTCATTCCAGCAAAACTCATAGCACTGATAAAGATGTGCGATAGCGGCTCAAAAAGTGCACTATCCCCCTTGCTGTTCAATATCGCCCTAGAAAAAGTCATTAGAGATGCAGAAGTGAACCTAGAAATTTTTTTACCACACTTGCTTCTGACATACGCTGATTATATCGATTTCATAGAAAGATTGGTCTGCGGAGTAAAAGAAATGTTTGTAAAAATAGAAAAGAGCGCCAGCAAAATGGGCCTTAGAATAAATGAAGAAAAAACAAAATATATGTGTGTCAGCAGACAGGTAAACAGAGACCGTGTAGGACAAAATGTCACAATGGGAGAATACAATTTCGAAAGAGTAACTAGTTTCAAGTATTTAGGAGTGAGAGGAGCAGAGGACAACAGCATAACAGAAGAACTAAAAAGCCGAATCCAGAGCGTAAACCGATGTCTCTTTGCTCTTTCTGGAGTCCTTAAATCTAAAGTGGTATCGCGTCCAAAATTAATATCTATAAAACCATAATGATACTAATGTATGGATGCGAAAGCTGGACAATGACGAAGCAAAACGAGAGAAAACTGAGGTGTTTCGAAAGAAAAATCCTAAGATCCTGGTCCCGTAAAAGATACTGAAATGGGAAACTATAGACGAAGAAACAACAATGAACTGAGAGACATATATCAGGAAGCGGACATTGTCCAGGAGACTAAATCCAGACGACTAAGATGGCTTGGACACATAGAACGTAGTCCAGAAAATAGAATTGCAAAGCTAGTCTGCAGTGACAATCCAGCTGGGAGAAGACCTCTAGACAGACCTCGTTTAAGATGGCGAGATAATGTAATATCAGATCTCAGGACAATGGGATACACGTACCAACCCCAAATGACAGAAGACCGTCAGGAATAGAGTCGAATTGTAAACGCAGTCAAGACCCACCCAGGGTTGTAGTGCTACTGATGATGATGATGATGATTATTTTTTGTGAGTTCTAATTTGACACATGTTAACCAGCAATTTATACTCCTCCTCATCCAGATTACTTCCTTCAATTGATGTGACGTATTAATTCTATTATACGAAATCTACAACAATAAAAGTAGAACAATAGTTGACAAACCACCCACTTCTCGCACATCAATAATAAATAAAATAATGGACTTTTTCCCTTCCCCCTTTTTTCAGACGTGAAATTAAGACGCCGATTTCCCACGGGAGTAGTCCGCAATTTGAGCATTCCCCGACGTACAAAGAACATCGCCGAATTTTAATGGACGTTCCCCTGAAATAAATCGGACCCGATGAAGCTTCAACGGTTTTGCAGGCATAAAACTTTAAGAATGGGCGCAGCCGACCGCGACCTGGATAACTGGAGAGGAGATTGACGCGTTGGAGTAAACGAAGGACATAATGGAGAAGGATTCAGGTAAGCGATTGCCTTAGAATAACTTGTCTTTACCCATAACTAAATATTCACAACAGGATATGTTTTGTGCAAACAAAAATCATTATATGGCGTAAATTTCAGGACATTTCTGCTACGAGCCGTATCCAGGAGTAACCAAAACTAACCCCAGCAACACGAACTCGCTCAAGCGCGAGAAAACGACCAAAGGTTCTCCAACGACTCCACCGTCCTCTCGTTCTTCCTGCAGCTGCATCGGCAAGAAAACCAAGAAGCGAGGCAAAGCGTTCTTCGCGGGGCTGGCGACAAATGTGGGCATCTGCGTCCTACTGTTCGGTTATACCCTTATAGGGTCGGTCATCTTCCTCGCTATTGAAGGTATCATCGTAGGGTCTGCCATCTGTACGTTTACGAACGAAGATTTGTAGGTGGCAGCAGTTACCAACACCAGATACTGGCGACGACTTCGCTGGCCGCCAACAACAAGAAGTACGCCAATCAGAGTACGGAACTGAAAGCCAAAAACGACAAGGCGAGAACGAAAACCGTCGAGAACTTGTGGATCATTACCGAGGGCCTTAACATTTTGTATAAAGAAAACTGGACAATATTAGCTGCTCAAGAAATAACCAGGTGAATATTTTAAACGGTATTTTACGCTTCGTCCTTTCAAAAGTTCCCAGAAACCGCAATTTATATTAGTTCATCCGACCGAAAAGTTGTAATTACTGCGGCGTCTCCATCATCCCACTGCTCGAATGAAACAATCGCGTATAATCGGTGGCAGAAATTATCCACTCGTTTAAGTGTCATCAATTACGTAGGTTTCAGGACGAACTGCTGAAGTCGATGAAGGAGGAAATGGGCCATCAGCAGCCTCTCAGGGTGGCGAAAGTCAAGGGCAGAGGTGGGGAGAACTACGAATGGACTTTTGCAAAGGCGTTCCTCTATTCCCTGACCGTCCTTACCACGATAGGTAAGTGAGACAAAAATTAACTCCACTAAAATTACCGGCCGCCAAGTTGTCATGCGATCCGATCTTTTGATATTTGTAAAAAAAAAACAGTTGGATGCAAGAGAAAACATAAATACATCATTGTAGATGTTTTCAAAGGTTCTATATTTATCTCAGTGTCTTATCAATCCAGCTAATTGTGGTACATTTACGGGGTCGTTCTTTGACAAACGCCTCTTGCAATGGACCGGTAAATAACTTCGAGTAATATTCGCAAAATATTCCATAAAAATATCCCTTCGCAACAAGCTCGTAATGATGAGTTACCAAAATTTATCACTCACGGGCCTGCAGATTTCTTCTTCTTCTTTCAGTCAATCTTCGACAGAAGTAATGTTTCCTTTACTTCAAAACTCACCAAATACTCCTTGTAATCGCTGAATAATTTCTGTTTCTATTTATACCTTCTTTCTAAAAAACAGAGATTTTGCTCTTTGAGATTTTGCAGTTTCTTCAGTAGTTACAAAGGTAGTGCTATGAAAACGCGTACATATAACAATATTGCACTAGATCGATGCATAAACATGTCAAGACTTGTGAGGCATCAACTGCCTTCTGCGTAATTTAATCAATGACACAGAATAACAAATATCTAATTCTCACAACTCTAATAAATTTTTAGAGTGTAAGGAACTATAATCAAGACTAAAATTTATTACTCAAAAATCTCCAAAACGTACTACATAACTTTGAAAGGAACAATTACAAGTCAAATTGTGGTCTTCATTTGGTTTCATTTTTTTTATTCGTTCAAACGTAGCTTCCACATTTTGTTTAAGTTTTTCTTTTAATGTGGAAACCCCCCACACCGAAATAAACAAATTAAGATGGGAATAACCCACCGGAAAATTTCGACAAACAACCAAACTAAAGGCATGTAACTACCCTTGGAGAATTGTCCAATCTTCTCCGATAGGAAATTATAATTTCTTTCAAACCTCTTACGAGGCCCGGTCCCAGGCTAATTTCCGCACGACGTCCGTCTCGTCTTTTCCCCCGAAGGTCGTAAATCTCCCGCGAACTGGAAATCAGAAAAGAGCATTGCCGGAGAAAAGCGAGAGGCAATAAAACTATACGGAATTGATTTCCATTTTAAATGCGCCGCGAGCGCTATCTGGCGGCGAGATGAATATTTCGCCCGTTTCTACGGCGCAACGCTTCCGAAAGTCGGGAAATCCATTTAAAAACATTAACTTTTAAGTAACAACTCAGTTTTGGGGATAACGAGAAGATGAAGTTTAAATATTTTACGGAAGCGTTGTCCCGAAGATGATTCGGATTTATCGCTTTTAGTTCGAAGGATTTGTCGGTACTTGCATTGGTTTAATGACGATTGGATAGTCAAACAAAATTAATTTCGGATAATACCCCTTCTAGAATGATAACCATAAAACGTAACATCTTCCGAAAGCTAGGAAATGCTGTATACCTACATACCCCTCTTTCGTAAAGCAACTGTTATTTCATAGCTCATGGCGAAAATATGAATAAACCATATTCACATCCACCTAGTTTGAAAGCAACAGCATAGCTGCTTGTTTCGATATTCTCTAAAGTTTGTAGTATGATAAGTTCCTTTAGCTCTTTCAATTAAAAAATTAATACCCTTAAAGCTATCATAAAGAAAATGTATCGGCCGCGACAACACATGTATGCTGTCTTTAAAAGAGGAAGATAGTACAATTTATGTAATAACTAGCTGCGCACCACCAGGGGGCAAGCCGAGACACTATGCAAACTCAACATGAAAGAGGTAGGAGGAGAAGAGATTATAATGCTCTTCTTCTATAGGTGGAAGAGAAGTGAAGACGACATAATGGATCAGAAGGTCTGATTACAGCACCCTGGTCATTCTTTTAGTGCAGGAAAGAATATATAAACTCCTCAGGGTATAACGAAAATATGGATATCATAGTCACCCTAGTTGTGAGTGCACGTAACTCAAGTGACCCAGTCATATAAAACGCAACTGTGTGCAGCATGCAATTACCGTGTTTCGAAGTAGCTTTTCCCTTCCCAATTTGCATCGAGAAATGAATTCGTCGATAAGAAGTGAAGTGGTAAATTTCGTACTCAATGCGATTTCCATTCAAATTTTTCCGCCTGGCAAAACAAAAACACACTCGATGGTTGCGGAAAACATCGACGTTGAATTACCGCCCATTGTCGTGTTATGCCTTAAACGATATAGGACCCGAAACTCTTTTTTTGGCATAAAATAAAACTCCCTAAGTGTTCGTGCGCCGAAAGTGCTCTACAATGTTGCTCCGCGAAGAGGAAAGCCGGAAGCCAAAGCTAACGAAAATATCGACGGTCGGTGACGAAACCTACGATACTTATAACCAGGCCGGTTACACTTTGAAATGATCGCAGAAAACGACCACATTTTTTATGTCGTTTCAGGTATTAGTTGAAAATGTTAACGGAGTCCAGAATATTGTCGGAGCAAACGTCAAACAATTAACACTCTAATCGCCACTAAATAGAAATTTAAATTAAATAGATTAGCCAAATTTATGAAAAAGTAAAGCACGTAACGACTTTTATTGTTTGCACTGGTGTGTTTCTACATATTTGAGATTGAGATAGAAAAATGATTCTTGATAGTGTTGAGACAATCCACGTATGCTTCTGAATATAGTGTGAAAATCGGGTATATTATTACACTCAATATCTATTTCATTTTGTTACTATTCTTTCTCTTTCCCTCAAATATATAGTAGTAGTATGTAACTACACTGTAAATAATTTATAGTCAGAAGTATAATCTGTTATTTTACAAACATAGTAAATACAGATACCGACAGCAGAAACTATAAACAAATTCGAACAAATAATTTTTTATAATAAAATGTTTTTATTTTTATTAAAACCACCAACGCGCAGGTGTTTTCGGAGACCCGTCCAAAGTTTTAACAAGTTTTAATTTAATAAATTTGTACAATCCTGATATATTTAAAGGCAGGGAATCACTTAATAATGTGATCACCTTATCCTTGAAATAGTTTGGATACTTCGCGACTGCAATAATTTTTCCGCAAACGTATTTCTGTAAACCTCGAAAATTATGTATCCCGAAAAGCGTCACCCCTTAAAATATAAAAGATAGTGGGTCCTATTCCTTATCCCCGCTTTTATCGCGAAAGCAGTTTTATGCAGATTTGACCCTGACTAAGCACGAAACACAACGAAAAAGGAGAGAGCGCCGAGATAAGATGCTGTTTTCGAAACAAACTTAAGTTTATGAGTTTTGGGGGCGCTTCCCGATTGAAGATTTTTAAAAGCGATGGCCCGGGGACTTTTTTTAGTCCGCGAAGATTGACTGCTTTTATCGGGAATTGATTCGGGGGCCGGTCTTTATAGTTCGAAACCTATTGACGTCGAGTTTGCGAATTTATTATGGCGTCGACCTTAAGGTACAGCGTGCTGAACGCGCCGAACAAAATCCCTGCGCGATAAAATCCCAACACGCCGTAATGGCGTCTACGGTGAGACACACGAGTTTATTTTTCGACAATGTAGCGATTTTAATATCACGCCTTTGTTTTCCTTTCGAGTTTTCATCGTATTCTTATACGGGCTTCGAAAGTATAGGAAACGACACGCGATTGGTTAGGTACGAGGATTTGAATATCAAATGCGATGTGGATTTATACGAATATTATATTTACGTCATACTTCTCCACAATTTTACTAGTGTTAAGGTCACTTATGAAAAAGACAACAAAGATTTGAAATATTACCTCTAATTATAAATGCGAACTAATTAAAGTTGCATTTTTCCGATCCAGAACTCATTGATAGGGTTAAAAGTATCTTTTTATGGCAAAATTTTATTATCTTTTGATCTCATTGTTCCGAGGCGTACTGGATATCACAAATTTTAAAATTCCTTAGGGATGTGTTTCTTTTATATAGCGCTCAGAAAGGCCCTATCGTGAAATATCACATTTTCACTAAATTAGGTATTGATGGGATAATTCACAATAATTATAATAATATGTGTTATATTTGCCAAAACAATATACAATTATTCGGACGAAATACTAATTTAGACCCAAATACTGACAAAAAAGAAGATGTAAATCAATGTTTTCGTCCACCTGGCTGGTTAAAAGATATTAAAGAAAATCTAATAAATATAAAAAAATATATGTAATAAATGTTTATAGTAATAATAGTTTATAATATAATAGATAATATCTTAAGTCGCTCTGGTAGAGTGTTGTAAAGACTTTAAAAATATTGTAGGAAAAACATCTTGTTAAAAACGGCGAATTATAAATAGTTTCAAAGTGTACACATCGGTTCGGTATTCTATTTTTCGTGACAAAGACGAGGGACGTTTATATCGTAGTATTTTACTGAACAGTATAACTTTTATATGCCATGGTAGCGGTCAATTCGTGAAATACAGTTTGACGTCAACGGATACCATAGATAAATCTTAAACAACATTTTTGAACACGTTGAAATCGATCTGAGTCGTAGACTACGTCAGCAAAATTTAGCAAAATTGAAGTGGCCCAGCACAAGAAAATCAACTAGGATTTTTTGAGTTTTCGATAGAAAATATCTACGGGGAAAAAGTTTTTTCAGATTTGCACAGGCATGTTGAATACACAATTTGCGACATGATTGTTATAGGTTATGTTTATACTAAAATTCAAATATTAAACATCATTATTGTTAAAAGAAATATACAGTTGTGTGTCGCTTCCATACAGATAAATCTGGCAATTATTTATAGAATTGATTTTATTACGAGTAAAAAAATTAAATAGAAGCCGTATCAGAATTGAACCTTCAGGCACGCCGAATATTTGTGTTTCCACAGTCGATAGTGAAAAATTGACATAAGAAGCTCATATTCTACTCTATCAAATGCTTTACTAAAGTCAATAAGGACCAGAATTGTTGCTTTACCTCTGTTAATCGCACGTATCATATCAGTTATATGC